TGGATGCAACTAATGAGATTAGTGTTGCTAAGAGGGAATCTTTATTTTTAGTCTAAATAACATAATAGTTTTTATCTCGGCGATTAAACAGGATATACAAGTAAATAGAGGAATAAATAGAGAAGTAGAACTAATGCACTTCACAAGTGCTCACCGTTTTAACGCCTCAACAGAGTATCCAACAATTAAAACTTGTACTTTACAAAATCCGTGCTTGACAATCATTGACTACCAGTTTTGTTTTTTTAGAGACCGTACGAAGTGGATTGGCTTCTGATCAATTTAAAAAAGTTTTTAGTCGGTTTTTTAAAGATTATCTCATAAACAATTCTTTAAACCTTGAAAAGTAGAGCATGAATTTGTGATAGTCGCTAAGACATGCTCTAACTTAATCCAATAAATTCTACACTCTTTCATGCATTTTTAAAATGTTTAGTAATTATCGGTGAAAAACGCTTTAAAAGTATTTTTGATTGCACTTAAACTATAGTTTTCTCCTTTCTTTTCTCTCTTTTTTGTTGAAGTTTCAAAAATTGTTCCGCTGGATTACTTGCTTAAAACTATTGTTCTGTGCAAAAAAACAGACTCTAATACTGAATTGCATCAGAAAAATTTTGTGTTGAATTATATCAGAAGGGCAATATACTTGAAAGGTTGGCAATCCACCTACGTCTCAGAAAAATGCAGCCTTAATGACCGGACGCTGTTAACAATAAGCAATTTCTTACTTGAAAATTTCAGCTAAAAATAAACAATATTTGCATTCTTCCTTACTAAGTACGTTTTTCAAAAACCTCCTTAACACTTTACTTTTATTGTAAAACCCAACAATCAATTATCACGAGATTTTAGCAACCATAACGGTCAAAAGATCTTATCTGACAAAGCTCGCATTATCTAGAGTAGACTGTATTTGTCAACAGAATTCCATTGCCAACAACGTCTTTCGAAATTGTTACAGACAGCTGCACACGTGCTGAATCACCAAGATCTCTCTAAACCTTAAGCAAGCCAAAGTTTAATTGCTAAACCTGGTTCCTGAATTAACTGGCATTTGCTGAAAAGCTGAAAAAACTTTCATCAAACAAATCCATATCAGTGTCACGTAAAAAAGAATGGACCATTTACTTCTCTAAGAGTTGCCGCTTACTAACATCAAGTGATTAAAAGGCGGACTCAAATGAAGTGGCAATATCAGTAATTAAAATTTTGACTTATATTAAAACGTTTTTACACGAAGAATTACAGTCCAATTTAGAAACCATCTTGCGAAACGCCTCATAGCTCAGGTCCTAAGCCGTTAAAAATTCAACTCAAATGTTTACCAACAGTTATATGTCTGGATGGCACTTTGAACCCAAAATTAATTCTGTAATAAAAATGACTGAAAATTAAAAAGATTACATCTTAGTTACTAAGTGCATCAACCCAAAGCTACACTCCAGTATAAAAGACCATCCGAAAAAAACCTATATTTGCCTGAAACTCGCTTTGATGTTTCGAAATCACACGGAGGAAGCTCAGCCAATTATTTATTGTCCAGAATGCCGACAACATACAATTTGCTTATGCAATTCTATCCACTATCACTGTTAGATAAAAATATTTAAATCTAGAAATTTATAAGTGCAACAAAAGAAATTGGCACGTAAATTCAGCCTTTAGTGTTTTTGTTGACTATCCGTTCTGCTGGTATAAAGTTTAAAACACTGGTTTTCCTCAAAAAAAATAAGCTTATGAGGATTGCATTATGTCAGTGGTCTTTTCACCGTTTTCCCAACACCACTGCATACACATTCTTCATTTGAACCAGAAATGACACCTAAGAGTAGAATAATAGTGTCTCATAAATCAAGATATAAAAGTATGCTGTTCTTAGGTCTGACTTTTCCAACAATACTACTTGAGGTAAAAAGATTTCATTAATAAAGTTAGGCATAACCATCCCAAAATTTGATTTTCTTTCGCCAAAAACATAAATCCTTTTTCTACGCGATCCGCCCCTAATTAAATTTTATCAACCTACAGCAATTCCACACTTGACTACTTAACTTCTCCTATCTTACTAAAAACTAAATGCTACACTGCCTCCACTCTTGTTCAGTTCTACAAAAACCCTTCTTCTAATGACTTCCAATACAACAAGAAATTAATTTTTTTACTATGCCATATGCGCTTTACCCTATCCAGCGTTTCTTGATTTCCTGCTAATAGTTTTGCTAATGTAGCAACACCCGACCAGGTTGCCCACACTATGTACAGCCCACAGCAACAAGGATTAAAAAAAGACGGAAGGACAACTCGTATCCGTCAAGTTCACTGCCCCATGTTCAAAGTAATTTCTGATGTATAAAAAAATAGATACAAAAAACGCCCCCTCCGACAAATACATATATAGACACGATCCTACTCGTTTAGTTGAGCACTCAGAACCTACCGACAAAGTATGGGAATTCCACTGCAGCTGAAGACCTTCATTAACATGCACTCATACAGTCATATACCGAAAATGCCATCCTTTTTACTCATGATCTCACCCATCGCCTGCGAAATCACTTTCAAGACAAAATTGGACCCAAGTCTTTCCTTCTCTACCCTTGCCTTTCATCCCTGCTGCTGAAAGTTATGCGTTATGCAAGCACTTTGACTAGGTAATGCTGTATCAGCAAAATTGCCAGCAGAAAAAGAAGCAAGTGCTGAGTGAAGTAAATCAATGGCTGAGTAAAATTTGTATTGCATGACACAGTAACAAAAAGTAACTGTTTCTTGTTTTATTGAAAGTCATCAGAGGAATTACTGTAAAACTGTACAAAAGTTATAGGAACAATTTATCATTTTTAGAAAATTAAATGAATAGAGAAGCTTGAAACTGCTAAAAACGTGATCAGAGTGATCAGAAATTTCTACATGTAAAAACTAAAGCAGCATATTAATGAAGACCAAATTTGGAGCCGAGGACGTTTAATTGCCAAAGCGAAATCGTAATCAGTGACACTCTTTCCTTTTATTCAAGCCAATCATACAGTACAAGGTTTCCTACATTTTGACAAAGACGTATAGGAACCAACTATGAGTCGGAGTTTTTACGGGTGCTAGATAGACTAGATCTTAATGATGTGTTCGTACTTTTATACAAAGTACAACAATTACAGGTATTGAAAATGTTAGTTTTTTAAATGTGTTATTGTCGTTTTTAACAAAGATTTTTAACTTCTTTTCGTATTTCCCAGGCGGCATAAATTTTACTTGATTACTGGTTTTCAAAGACTTTTTCGATTGGAAGAATCTGTTTAGTACTGCCTTTCCACTTCGTTTGATAATTACTGGTTGCAACATACTTATGGAGAAAATTTAAAGTAATTTAGGCTTTGACAATTAAGACTGCTTGTCATTCATTAGTTTTCATTCTGAAACGAAAAAAGTGGAACTTTTATAAAAAAAAAAAGGACAATAATATAGTTAAAAAGTAGCATCACCAATACCGATAACCGTGCACCGAGTAAAAATGCGAACATAACCTTGAGGTCTAATCTAAATAGAACCGATGGAAACTCTTTATCGAACCCATAATTGGTTAATACGCTTTTGATAAAATGCATAATAATCACAAATTCGATTGCCAATAAACTCTCAATACAGGACAAGTGATATACTTCAGTGGATCGTGAAAAGTGATGCAAATGGACAAACCAGCCGGCCTGCTGCTATGATTCTTCATCAAATAAAGTTAAGTCTTTTTCGCATCCTGGACACTCACCGAAAGACATCCCGTCGAACATTTTCTGAAGTCCTCGTTGAGACCTGTACAGATGTACTGTTTCAACTCCTTCATTCAACTTTTCCTCAAATAAAAAATTGTGCGCCACTTTCATGTACTGGAACCGTTGGTTCAGTAACACGAGCATACCTGCAAGAAGACAAAAGAGAAGTGTGTTAACAAGAAATGCTTCATTAATTGTTACAATAAAATAGGCAAGGACAAAACTTGCCAGGTTCAAATGGGTTTTTATTAGCGCGCCCAAAAGAGATAGCGTCTAACAAAGGTGTTGCATTTTTGTTACATAACACCTTGACTAGAGCATCTGAAATAGGTCCTATTTGAGACAACGCAAGTGACTGTAGATAACTTAGTTCTTGAAGAGCGAACTTTGCTGCTCCGCAGTCAATATCCGCCGCTCCGATTACCGACAGGACTTCCAGCTTTTTACACCTCTAAAAATAACAGTACATAAAATATAACTCAAAGAGACATGCAAAAGATTATTTCCCTCCAAATACGTAACAAATTAACAAACACAAGAAGTGTATCTGAAATTCTATTTAAAGGTAAAAGTGGCCTCAAAGTTTGTATTCTCAATTCAGCTTGAAAGTCTTGCTTTTCAAAGGTTAAGCTAAAATTTTTCAAAGCATATCGCAAAGTGATATGAACAGGGAAAAACAAACACTGGCAACAATTCGAAGATGACTGCCTCTGAACCTCTTAGCCAAATATAAACTTAAAACTTTCAGGTTACGAGGCAAGAGTTCACAAAGGTCTTGAAGTTCTTGCGACGACAACCTGACACCAATCCCTCGAATCGCAAGCTCGGTGACGGACTTCAGAAGATTAATCCCTTGAATCATGTGACTCCAAATTTGGAAATCATAATCTTTTAAGGCAATGCTAGAAATCCGCAAAACTCGTAGGTTAGGAAGTTTCTGCAACCCTAAAAGTAGAATATCAAAAAACAGTGATTGAAAAAGCGACTCGACATAGCAGCACGGCGACATGAAAGTTTAGTAAAACCTTTTTGAATCTAACAGCAAACTGAACTGACCGAAATCAGCACATTAGATCTTAAATTGAAAAACCTCTTTTTACTCAAATAGGAAAGGATAACAAAGTCAACACTAAAATGAAAAAGACGCAAAGTCAAGAGTCAAAATGTACCGATCAAACCACACTGAAAAAATTTCTGTTCTTTGCAGAAGAGCATAAAAAACAATAAATCATGAACTTGGTGACTTTCCCTCAAATCAAATAGTTTAAAAATAGAAAGTAAAAGAAGCAGTTTTGTAGCATAAAACCAAAGCATGAAAAACAAAGTTTTTTCAAACCGACCTATAACATTGAAAAAAATAATACCACTAACTAAAAATATTATAAACTGGTTGAAGAAATTGCCATATCGAAAAAATTTACCCAAAAAGAATTTCTCGTAATGCTCGTATCCTCGTATATCAGGAACTCCAATGTCAAGTTCTAGAAGAGTAATTTTTGGAAATTCCTCAATTATGTCCAAGGTTTTATTTAAAACGAGCCTTTCTTCATCAACATTTAATGTTGATAAACATATGCACAATCGCAACTCTTCACATACTTTAGAGAGAGGCTGAAAAACTTTCTGTATCAGGAACTCCTTTGATTTGACTCACAGAATCTTCTCAGTAAGAATAACTGAAAGGAGAAAAAAATTTACATCTACGTACTTCCAACCCCTGTCTTGTTGAATGATCATTACTTATAGAATGCACATTCAGTAATAAGTACACATATTCCAGATTAACGTGAAGACGTAGTAAACGATGTGCCAGTTGACGCAACACCTCAGTACCACACTTCGACAGATGGATCCGCCGGGCTTCGGGCTTAATAATCGTCTAAAATCAGCAGATATCATGCCCTGGCTGTCTTTCCTCTCCAATATTATAAAAAGGAATAAAAAATAAAAAAGTTCACAAACAAAAACTGTTTAAAAACCATTACAAAATGACAAAAATACTGAAGATTAGCAAATAATGATGAACCAAAACAACACCATAAGCCGATCGCAATCTGTAGACTTATCAAACCAAACGCCGTGAAAGCAATACGCTTGAATTTGATTCATTAAACAGGCTTCATCTGAGGACCCTGTAATTCGCTTTCATTTTGAAAACTTGACCCCAGTCTAATGCTAAGCAGTATAAAGTTTACAAGTTTAAAAAATTACTGAAATAATCTACATTTATCTAGCACTTGACATGTCATATGACAATTTCGGATACATAAGGAACGCAAATTCCTCAAAGTGGAAAGTGCCTCTGCTAAATCTGGAGTTAGGACCAGCTGAAACAAAGAACAGCAAAAAAATACTTTCACAGTGGTAAAATAGGCGAAGTGAATGAAAAAGAAATTGTGCGGAAGTACAAAATAAAAGCAATGTTTAGAAAAGGAGAAAGAATACCAAAATATGAGTTCTAATAAAATGAATCCCTGAGTGATCTTTAAATCTATCCGCTTCTTCATGTGGCAGAAATCTTACCTCGTAGTCGGGAATATAACTCATTCGCCTCTGTATGTCATGTATTGACCCTATACGTAAAGAAACAATTTGTTTTTCAAAGCGGCGTAAAAATGCTCGAAGCATCGCTATACTTGAGGAAGGTTGCACTGCAAGACCTTCATCACTAGAAAGTCTATAAGATGCCACTGTTACAGGAAGGTATAATTCGTTCCCAGCAAAAGCAATGGTTATTTCGGGTCTCGTTCTCTGCAAAAAAAAAAAAAAAAAAAAAAAAAAAAAAAAAA